TATCGCGCACATGCTCGCAGTACTTGTCAGAGAAAATACCAGAGGAATTCTCATCCCACATTGAGTGCGAAAAAAGATGCAGGAGCATAGTCATATCTGGCATCAGTGAGTCTCCTGGTAATGTAGCCCCATCGGAACGACAAAGCGATGTTGAAAAGAAAGTCTCGGAGATTCTTGATGTTCTCAATGTTGAGTGCAGGCCTACAGAAGTTTTCAGGATTGGTAAAATCGACCCCAAAAGACCGCGCTTGATCAAAGTTGTACTACCGTGTCGCAATCTCATTGGCGTAAGGCTTTAGCTAATGCTAGACTCCCACCCTCTCCGAGTTCATGCTACGCTGTTTTTGTTCGCAAAAGTATGACCGCGGAAGAAAGAAAGAATGACTACGAACTGAGACAACTAGCGCGTGAAAGAAATAAAGGCAAAGGTAGTCGTGAATGGGTTGTGTACCGTGGGCAACTCAAAAAAGTCTCAGATCTCCCCAGATAAGATCGGAAAACGTCCTTGGTATGCAATGGCTTCACACTCATCTTCATCTAGTTTACTCGATACTCAACACTCGATTAGTTATGTCCAACATCACCTTCATTCCCATTCATCTTGCGATGTCCCTGATAATAAGAGGCAAAGTAACCCTGAATCTGATTCCAATCAAAGTATGCTAGGTACTCCTGTCCCCCTTTTCTGCACTTTACTCAACGCTCGAAGTCTAGTGAACAAACTCAACCACCTCCAGCTGTTTCTTTCGAAAAATGAACCTGACCTATTGTTTGTTACGGAGACCTGGTTAACATGTAAGATCAAGAATTCTGAAGTATCATCCCATCTACCGTATGATGTAGTACGGTTGGATAGGAATGATAAGAGAGGTGGTGGAGTTTGTTGTGTTATCAAGAATACACTTACCTCACGAATCGTACGTCACGACATTCGCTCCAAAGCTGATGTACTGTGCGTTGATATACTACCCCACTATGGTTATTCCCCCTTCCGATTTGTTATAGTGTACCGCCCTCCCGATTCTCTGATTAGTGATGACGAAAATCTCATTGAGTTGCTTGCCACCTTTATAAGTACTGAACGTGAAACTGTGATTCTGGCGATTTCAACTTATCAGTAGACTGGGAAAACATGATTCCTATAGGTTCTAATTCTGCCAAGTTTCTAAATTTCTTTCGCAACTCAGGTTTTGATCAGGTGGTACGGGAACCAACCCATGAAAACCGGATCCTTGATCTTATTCTCACTACTACCCCTTCTATTACAAACGTGTCACTGATGCCTCCTTTGTCAAGCTCTGACCATTGTATTGTGAACTTCCATATACAGGGGTTTTACTCTACCTTCATATCACCACCCATGCCGGATTACCATAACGTTAACTACGCTTCTCTTGATAACAGCCTCTATAACGTTGATTGGTTCACGGTTTTCGATGGCTATGATTCGATGTCCGACCTGTATCGCAGGTTTTGTACGCTCATCTATCAATATTTATCTGCTCATGTGCCCTTCAAAACGCCGCGTAGACATAGTATTCGATACCCCCTACACATTCGAAACTTACTCGCTCAGAAGCAGCGCATTTTTCTTGCGTCTTCAGATTTTTTGAGAAGTCCACTGTATAGAAAAGTTTGTGCTGACATTGATCTGCATCTAAAGAAATTTTGGGACAACTATGAACGACGGCTAGCCAAGCGTGCTTCTATGAAGCAATCTTCACCAATATATCCGTCACAAAATGAAAATGATAGGAAGTTCAGGCTCTATTGTTGATATGAATGGAGTAACATGCACTTCTGAAACTGATAAAGCTACTGCACTTGGCAATTTTTTTGCCAGTGTTTTCACCAAGGATGCTGACCTTCCGTTCTTACAAACAAATTCCGAACCTGTTCACTGCCCATGCAATGACCTCTACTTTACCCCTGATGAGACAATTTTTTTGCGTCTGAGAGATTGAACCTCTACCAGTGAACCGTACGATGGCATACCTCCTATAGTTTATAAAAAATGTGCTCGCTCGCTTTCGCGACCGCTTGCTCTTTTATTCAACGCATCATTCATGCTGGGCGAGGTTCCTGAGATCTGGAAGGATGCTCTAGTGACAGGGATTCCAAAGGTGGATGGAGCCGTCTTGGTATCGGACTTCCGCCCAATTAGTATTACTCCAACACCTGTCAAAGTGATGGAAAAGATTATTCGAAAGAGGCTTGTTGATTGGTTACTAAAAAATAAGCTTATTCCACACGTGCAGCACGGTTTCCTTCCGGGCTATCAACTGTAACAAACCTTGTTGACAGCTTTTACGACTGGATCTAGCATTGAACCGAGGTAAGGCAATTGACATTATCTACGTTGACCTATCCAAAGCATTTGACAAAGTGAAAACCATGCTAAACTACTTCTAAAACTGCAATCTCTTGGGATTGCGGGGAAAGTCCTGAAGTGGTTGAGATCCTATTTATCTGAACGACATATGACTATCAAAGTGGGGCGGGGGTTTTCTGACCGATTTCACTGTACTAGTGGCGTACCCCAAGGCGGAGTTCTATCACCTCTACTTTTTGTGATCTATACCTTAGATTTGCCATCCTACCTCAAAACATCTGAAAATGTAAGAGTGCAAATGTATGCTGATGATATTAAAATATATGGTATCTTCAACGATGATAACTGTAACGAGGTTCACTCAGCTCTTAAACGTTCGATTGAAAACTTGAAATCTTGGGCCACACACTGGGGATATTGATTGTAAACCGCAAAGGTAAGACGTTTGTACTGCATATAGGTAAAGCCCATTCCACACAATATACAATCAATGATGTAAAGTTGAAAAGCTGTGAACTCTCTAAAGATCTCGGAGTCCTGGTTGCACCAAGGCCTGAAATTATCTAAACACATCGACCTAGCTGAACAAAGCATATGCTAACCCTTTACAGTTTCATAAACTATACCACTGATGTAACCACTCTGATACGCCTTTACAAGACATATGTACTGCCGCATCTTGAGTATTGTTCTCAAATCTGGAACCCCACACGTAAAAAGCAAATCATCAAGCTAGAAAAGGTACAGAAATTGTTTACAAGACTGCTGTTCCATCGTGCTTTCCAATGTCGCGACTCAATGCCATGTTATACCGAACGTTTAAGACAATTAGGCTTAAAGACGCTTACAAAGGAGGTCGTTCAGGGCGTGGCGCGCTTTTCGAACGGTTTGTTGCATGTTGTAGGGCTCACCGCAGAGGACCTGAGAACGTATGTGTTGATGGTTCGGCTCCTCTTGCGTCGTGGCTTTTTGCATTTTTTAGATTTCGCTGTTCTCGCTTCCACTTAGTGTCTGCGCATGAATATAACTCGGATATTTGCCATTTATGGGCACATTCTGAGTAGCTGTACCTCATGAGTCAGTGCTATTCAACTATTTCGATTTTCACGCACCATTGAACAAGATTGTTGCTGGACGTTGATCCTCATAGGCTATACAGTGGACTGATTGCTAATTTAGTAATTCTGGTGTGTGCCGTTTAGAGCAATTTGGGGCTACATCTTCTTTCCACTGAATTCTTTATGTACACCAAGATAGGGAACGTTCAGCGCTATTCTGTCGCCAAATGCGTGGACGCCAAGAATAGGTGTTATATTTGTGATCAGGGCCACTGATTACCACTAAAAACGAATTTTTGGTTAAAACAATTGTTTTGACCTTCTTGGGTTTGCTTATTGGGTTGTCCGGTGTCCGTAGCGCCAACGATACTTCATCGCTGTAACGAAGATGTGAGACTCTGCTCACACTGCCGACCAAATGGTCGGTCACCTACAACCCGAAAAAGTCAAAAAAATTTTTCGCTCAAAACTTGCTCCTAGGGGTAATCGACAGTCCTGATCACGATTCTAGACTTTATTTTCGGTTCCAGTGCCATCTGGCACCGGCATACCGCCGAGGAGCTGAGTCTGTGCATACAAACGAATTCGAACGAAAAAGCAGTTTTGCTCCATAAAAGTAGGATTGTTCAGTTTATCGTGAATGTTTTTGTTAGGACCAATTATTTAGACAAACATGGATCCAAAAAATGAAAAATTGTAGAAAAGCAAAATTTTGTCCTCGGTGGGATCCGAACCATCGACCTATTTTTACGTTTTTTTTATTCGTAGAAGCGCGCAGCGAAAATGAACCTCAGTTTTCTGGTCCTCGTATGTGCCCCTACAATATGCACAAGACCATTTTGAAAAAGCTCACCACGCCCTGAACGACCTCCCTGTAAGACACAGCAACGCGAAACGATTGCGGACCTTGTTTTTTGCTTTCGCCTTCTACGCATGGAGACTAATCTGTCTCCAAGTAAATACTGGGTGTTCAGACCAAGTCATGAAAGAAGAGGCGGATTCAACTTACATTACCCTCCGATTCAAAAGAAAAATCAGACTCAATTATATAATTTTGTGCTCTACCGTGGCGCGAGGTGGTTACAACGTTTACCCACTGAAATTCTGTCGTCTGGTGACAGCCATAGTTTTAGAAACAAACTGATAAAGATCGATCTATTACAGCTTCTCCAGTTGGATGACTCATTTTAGTCTCAAACATCTGCCTTTTTCAGTACATTTGAAGTCCGTGCTGTGTGCTGTATGTTTTTCGACCATTTCGTCAATTTCTTCGCGGAATCAAAAGCAAAAATCAGCCACCATACATCCCAAAGAAAGAATCGATTTCTATAGTTTTCTTTATCCAACCAGGATTTTCTCCTACTGGAAATGAATATTACCACAAAGAAGATCTATCACCAGATTTTAGCACGGATGATGACATTTTATACATTTGAAGTTCTTGCTGTGTGTATCATTGATATTCTTGTTTTCACCATATATGTAAGAAGGAGGCACACTGGCTATCTAAACTGAATCCTGAGTGTTTTTTTCTTGAATTGATTACATTGATCACTTGTTCCACTGTAGTCTGATGATCCTCAAATGTGTCTAAAGTAATTGTTACCCTCAAAGTTATACTCAAAGATTCTAGAGCAGATGAAACCACCTGCTTGAGTCCCTCGTTCGCCTGGGGTCCTGAACGGATGCGTTCGTTCGGGTTAAACCGTCAGCGGGCCCCAGTATTACGACAATCTTGCGTTCTGAAGGTCGATCTTGCAGCTGGCATCATCAACTATCAAGGGGAGGACTACATTACAAGTTTTCAATTAAAATCCTCACATAAACCTTTTTCTCTTCTCAGGAAGTAGTATGAATAGCGTGTGATCCTTCTCTCTGTCTCAGGTTTTAGTTAAATACTTGAGTTCTCAGCGAGTTTATCCTATTCTAGCAATTTGGCACACTTATGTTTGTAAATAAATAAATTAAATAAATAAATCATATAATAAATAAATTCATAGCGCCGGTCCCAGTAGCAGTGAGAAATTGGTTCCAAGAAGTAATGTAGGGGGTGTGACGGGAACACTATTGGTGGTTTATAGGAAGTGATACCAGTTGATAAGATGCGATAAGAGGCGTTCTAGAAGGATAAGGGCCACCATAATTATAGACGCGATCTCTCTCGTCGAGTAGCGGGAATTGGAGCAATCCTTGATCTGGTCTGTGCACGGAAGGGATGCAGAGATGCCGCAAACGCGAAATACAAACGTAAAGGCAGTGAAGGCTCGGGTTTACAATCCACACTAACATGCTTCTTTATAAAATTCTTTACTTCTCTGAATAAAAGAAACGATGATTCTCTGGTAATATACGTGCACTGCTATTTTATGGAGGACCTATACTGTAACGAAAGCTCCTTTTACACCCTGTATACAAATCCTAAAAGACACCGTGAAAAAAGCGCACTACTAACTTACTAAACAATAAAATTTTCAATGTCCCTAGGACGCATACGTTAGCCCCAGAAATGAATTACTATTTGCTAGCACCTATTTTGTTTCTCTAACTCTGCTCAAGAAAAGCGAAGAATCTTAGAAATGAAAAATAAACTCTGAACAGAAGTAACAACACACCAGTTAAGTTTAGAAATCGTCACTCATAAGTAATACATAGAAAACCTGTACTACGAAACATGTACTGTTCAGCAATCAATACGGTCATTGCAAGATCAGCATCGACTAGTCACTGAAAAAAATTCGTGGATTACAGTGCAGTTCTTGGATAACTGAACTTCCAACTGCGCAATATTTTACAACTGGGGGACATCCCCTAGAGAAGGGCTATAAAATTGAAAAGGACTAAAAAAACAGCTTTTTTTATTCACCACAACTCCTACCGGATGAGAGCGATGGTATGTCTCAAAAAACACATTCTATGACTGCCTGAGTGGGGTATTTCTTGCATGTAGGAGGTGGCGCCACAGTGGAAGTGTAGCCGACGCGCAGTCGAAGCGCAATAGTGGAGCTACCGACGGTGGTCTTTCAATATATGATGCACACCTACGCAGTATGGACAACCGTGTGATGATAGTGAGGCGCCGTGTGG